CTACCATTTATGAGGTTTTCTTCCATTAGCAGCGACTGCCTCCTGTCTTGCTATAGCGCCCTACTTCCTGTTGATAACGCTACACTTCCTGCTCCCATGATAATGATTGAATGTTCGTTCTGGGCCATGGCCCAACTTGATTTTACTCCAAGTGTCGTTTACAAGTACAGATACATTCGTCGCAGTGTGTTGTCATTTCAAAGAAGTTGGTGTATGAAAGGTCAAATTGCAGAGACAGAGACTAATCTATACGCCCATCGCTCAGATTCCAAAATCACTGGCTGAAGAGTCATTTTCGAGGTCGCAACGGGGGTGGGGCCAATAGATGGATACTCCTCGAGCATCGGTGAGATAGGTCACAAAGTAAATTTTCAAAGTCAAAATCAACTTTTTTCTTACCTGTTCAACTGGTTCAGAAGGAATCTCATGAGTGTGATCCTCATACTACAATGCAGCCACCACCAGAATCGTCCTCTCGAGCATCACCGCTCAGTGTGCAGACAAATCCGACGATGAGTGCCAACTTTAAGGTCCATATGTGGCAGAATCGGCCATTCGATAGTGGCGTTCACACCATGACCCATAGCCAGGTAAGTACTGTCAAGGTGGAACTACTTGTGTTGTTGAGCAATTCAATCAAGGCTGACAAGCTTTAGGCTCCATCGATGATGTCCATGACGTCAATCCACGCTGGCTCGCAGATCTCCGCCATGTCCTCGGTTGTTGACACTGATGCGGCCGAACTCACTGACCAGGTAGGTCCGCGATGGATCCGTATGGCGCTACTCCATGCCTGTGATGTGGTACGCCGGCTACTGAACTCGCAAGCACGATTATGATTTTTTACAGCAGCAGCAAAAATTCGAGAACATTTCCTTAGCGTTGTGCCCAACGCATCCGGAATATGCGAATGCCGAGGGAGTGATTCCTGAGCTGATCAACCTCATGAAGGACAACGATGAGGTCTGTCTGAGCCCACATATGGTTTGCAGTGATACTAGCCGGGCTCTCAAAGTACTCTTACAGGTGGTGGTCTATAGGGCCTTGTTTATCATGCAGAATATCGCGAAACTGGACGCAGATATCTCAAGAAGTCCTAGTGCTCGAATTCGTGGCCCAGATGCGGTTATGGCCATTGTGAATGTTCTGCAAGTGCGGCGGAACACACCAGTGAGTACTTGAACTCGTCCTACGCGTACAGAAATTCAGGGAGTTTCTGCAAAACTGTACAGTAACCCTACTTCGACGGAATTCTGTTGTGGAATTCTGATTCGGCAACTTACATCAACGATTTCTTGGGGGATTCTGATTCGTATCTAGTACGGCGTGAAATTCATGAGTTCGGAATTCTGTAAGTGAAAGTAACAACTACGCGATATATGAATGCAATACGATCAATAGCCTAAATCTCCAAGGTGCAATCTATTTCATTATCGATCTTTTCTTCAAGCATTTCGGTCTGATATTTGTCTAACGACTCACCAATTAAAAGCAAAGGATGGACTCGCCCGATAAATTAAAGCTGAAAAAAAGGGGGCGGTAACTCAACCGAGAAAGGGAGGCAGCTTTCTAGGATGCGGGACGATGCATCGTGTTTATGCAGTTGATGAGGGTAAGCGCCTAGGCAGTAGGCACGTAGTCGAGCGGACGTTCGGCCCGCAATCCCAAGTTGACTGGTTTACCTTTCACCGACGGAACTCGCGCGTTGTTTTAGGAATGCAGCTACGTTCGCACTGCCGCGAGTAAACGTCCAAGCATAAATAGCTCGCTCCGGTTCACGGAGAACGGCGAGATTAGAGGTCCGATTTTTACGGTTTTCTAGGCACTTTTCTTAGTACTTTTCATATACTGTGCAGCGTTGACCATATCGCGTATTCCGTTTTCAATGCGCGACAGTTTTCATGAAAATTTCGCCTTTGCGGTCAAAATGGGAATTGGACTTTATCACGGGGTTACCTAGGAATAATGGGGTGGAATCACTTTTGCAAAAAACGAGCAGATCCCTCTCAAACTTGACCGAGCTAAAAGACAGATGTTTCATCCTCTTGTTCCTTAAATCAGGACCCGTTGAGCCCTTGTCAGCTATTTTTGGAGCTTACTGACTATCACGCAACTGCGATAGTGAGTAGACTCAAGTCAGAGTGGTGGACGCTAGTCAGAGAAAAGATAAGAAGGCGGCGAGATCTTCAATGTATAAAGCTTTTGCGCTTGGATTGACTGATACTGCGACGAAAAGAGGCTAGGCGAGTGAGGGCCACGCAGGGGGGGGGAGAAGTTGAGCTTTGATGACACATGACACAACACAAACCGGTTATTGTACATCTCAAAAAGGTAACGCTAACATTTGCTGAATTGAGCGGAAATAACCAGAGGGACGAGTGCGAAAAGCTTTCCCTGACAGATTTGCAAAACTTTCGGCACGAAGGAATCGCATCGTCGCATCAAGAGAGGCCGCGTAAATGTTTGCAGCCCTGAAGCGGCGACCGAAATATATCTTCAAGTGATCCACTGCTGGAGAGTTTCTTTAAGAGAGTAGCTCTGACTGTGCGGGACTCCTGCCAAGCAGCATCTCAGATAACCGTCGCCATTGTCCTATGGCCCTTCGAGGACCTCGTTTATCTTGAACCTTGCATTACGCTCCCGTAGCAGGTTCTTCTGATGTCGCACGTGTAGGAGGCTGTTATAAAATTGTTGAATAAATTTGAATGGGCTCTACAGTTCACAGTTGAAATCATTGGGTGCCAAATTAGTGAAAGGCGATTGATAATCCCGATTGTGGAGAGAAAGGTTCCCCACCCTACGCACCTACATATGTCTTCAAAGGCACGGATTGCGATCGAGTTGGTGTGTTATTTGGTTCGAAAAGTAGACAACACCTGCGAAGAGAACCGTTAATTTGGGTAATGGAAGTTCTCTATGAACCACTCAAGATTTTCCTGTGAGGTCGACCGTGGTAAGATGGAGAGACACAGCGCTGCGAGGAGAGGGAAAACGCGAGAGAGCACGTCGTACGCGAGAGGGCGCAGACGCCACGTGTGCTGCGATTGATAAGCAGCGGTCGCAGCGGTCAAGCGAAGGCATTAGATCCCTGTTCACACTGTTTTAGGTCGGCCAGTACCAGCTTCCTTGTGATTAGGGGTCCTGCTACCTCTAGGGGATAATTTCTTCGTGGATGTAATCGCGACCTGTGCCTTTCAAATACTGAGAATAACTGGAACATATCCTAACCCTTGAAGAGAGATTGAACCAAGATATTTTTTCAGACATCACGACCCTCGAAAATCTTCAGGTTTGAGGAGATTCTTGGTCCAACAGTGTTTTTTTTTTGAAACATTCGGAACTTTATTCATCTCAATTTTCAGAACATTATCCGTATGGCATTGGGGACGCTATTCCAAATTTGCATACGAGCTGATGGTTTAGACGATGTGGCTCGTGTAAATGCTCATTGCAATGGCGAGCTAATTCGAAGCTTGATTGAGCATGCCAGGTTAGTTGTGGTTATGTGACTGCCATTTTCATGATCTAACTGTTCTATGAGGTGACTCATCTATCACATTTCCAAGTCTTCAAATCCTTCACCATAATCAGTTTCAAAGTCTAATTTCTCCTTGGAATAGATCCTTAAAGGCAGGGGACACCGTGATTGGAGGAAGGAGCGCTTTTGATGACGTCATTGAGCGCTGTTGTGGAAGTGTTTCGCA